GGAAAGATGAGTTTAAAACATGCTAATTGAAGAAGCTGGCTACTAATACTTTATATGTTAGATTTGTAAGGTTTAGTCACATTGAAAAGAGGATGAAGTGGTATAAAATGACAAACTGATAAGGGCAATGGTGAGATTAAATTATTTAAGAAGAATATAAGATTTTCTTTTTATTTTCAAAAAATGATGCCAAAATTTTAGACATGTTTAATTATAAATTCCAAAGTATTAAGATAATAGTGTCATATAATTTTCTCTACTATGTTGGCAACAAAAATGTATTTGATAAATGTCTTACCATCAAAAGTTTTTTTTTTTTCTGTTCTTTGCAAGAACCCTTTCTTTCTTGAGATACTTATGCATATTAATGACCACCTTTCAGTTACTCGGAATGAAATTCAAAGACTTCTCTTTGCAATCCAACATATTTAGAATTAAATTCTTTCATTATGTGTGGATGTAGGAAGGGATCAAACTTAACTATTTGGAAGAAAAGTAATAAGTTTGTTTTCAGGAACCTATTAGATTGGGTAAACCATTTCAAATACTTCATGACCAAAAAAAAAATATTTAAAATAATAATGAGTATTCATCTATTTCAAGCTTCCAGGGGAAATAAATCTAACTAAAATTGGAATTTGATTGATTGGAAGACAGAGTTTGATTATCTTCACCAGCAACCCTGCTTCTCAATTCATGAGCTATGTCTAATTAAGGAACAGTGAGGAGTTAGTTCTGACTTCCCGGGGTTTTTACTGGGAATGCCAAGAAACTGACTGGAAATGCAAGTCCTGTTCACTTCATGTGAGGAATGAGTTTCACAGTAGATATGTGCTATGAATTGTGGAAAAATACATTTTTACCTTGAGAAGAGAAAACTATTTTCCATATAAAATAAGCATTTAATTTATTTTCTGTGCATTTTGGAGCTAGAAAGAATACCCCATAAGGCTAAAATCCACAAGGAAAAGAAAAATTAGGCATGTATGATGCATGGCCATGAGACACATAGTAGAGTCCAATCATCATCAATTTAATAAATACCATGACCTTTTGTAGCTTTGAGAATTTTAGAGTTACATTCCCACATTAATATATTAAAAGTAACTCATTACCCTTTTAAATAAAGGCCTATATTATTTTAGCTTCGTTCATTTTATGTCTCAGAAATAATATTGCTATGGTGTTAAATTAGTTGTAAAAGGGATTTTTAAAAGCTGTAATATAATGGTGCATTATCAGTAATTTTTAGTTTAATCACTGCAATATTTCTGTTGTATACCTTAGTCTGTATGAACTTAAACCAAAATTGCTTTTTAGCTCTAGAGTCATAAATAGTTCTCTATAAAACCAACCTAGAAAAATATTACTAAGTTTGTTTAATTCTTTTTAAAGTAAACTTTAAATGATTACTTTATAATCATTCAAAATATTTTTCAGAAAAAAACATGATGGATTTTTAATTTAAATTACTGCATTCTAATTTTTGAAAAAAATTTTATACAAGATATTTGCAAAGCAGTTATTGAGAATGCACATTTGATAAATTACATCAGAAGAAGTAATATTCTTTAAATATTTGAATTATTGATTGGAACAAGACTTCTGATTAATTATGTAATTGATGTATTTTTTTTTCCTAAATATACCCTGCTCTGAAAAACAAATAAACAGAACTATTAAAAATGGAAATGGAATTTTAAAATAATATTCAAATAGCTCTCTGACACTTTAAACTGAAATGTTTCAAAACTAGGAGAGTTAAGATTCTCATTTCCAGCTTTCTTCCTTCCAAGGATCCTCTCAGATTGAAAACAATAATACATATACATGTAATAAAGTTTTATATGTACTATGTATTCATATAAACATATAAATTATAAAATACATATTATACACATATATTTAAATACATGTATATATATTAGGTATACTTACATCTCTATGATATGATTAATTTTGATCAACATAAAACATAAATATATATATTTTTGGTGGTGCTAGGGATTGAATCCAAGGCCTTGTGCATGTGAGTTAAGCCCTTTACCAACTGAGCTATATTCCCAGCACCCACAAATTCAATTTTTAAAGATCTTCTTGATTCTCTAAATATTTTTTTGTTTTGGGGTACTGGGTACTAAACTCAGGGACACTTGGCCACTGAGCCCCAGCCCCAGCCCTATTTTGAATTTTATTTAGAGACAGGGTCTCACTGAATTGCTTATCTTCTCACCATTGCTGAGGCTGGCTTTGAACTCTCCATCCTCCTGCCTCAGCCTCCTGAGCCAATGGGATTACAGGCTTGTGCCACAGTGCCTGGCCCTTGATTCTCTAAATTTAATTTATGTTTTTACTAAAAACTCTTTCTTGTTCTGTTTTATAATTACAGAATTTGTCCTCATATCTTATTCTTTTACTCTTTTAATCTTTCCCTGAATTATGATGATTTAAGAATAGCTGTACTAAATTTTTAATCATTCATATATTAATTTATTCATTTGACTGAATCCTTCCCGGGTGCCATATATGAATGTGGGCACCAAGGGTTAAATATTTTAAAAAACAAGATCCACCTGGGTGTGATGGCATACCTGTAATCCCAGTGACTGAGCAGACTGATGTGGGAGGATCATAGTGGAGGTCAGCCTTGGCAACTTAGCTATCTCAAAATAAAAAAATAAAAATAAAATTAGAAGGAATGGGAATATAGCTCAGTAGTACAGCAGCCTTGGGTTCAGTCCCTAGGACCAAAAACACAAAAATGAAAAAACAAAGTCTTGTGTACATGAAACTTAAAGTCTAGTTCTAGTTGCCATTCTGAATTCACACACTAATGTCATTGATCTTGAAGCAGACTTAGTTTAGAACATATTCATTCACCTTATGGTCACAAATCAAAAAGTCCACATTCTGAGACCACCTTATTTTTATGTGAACAATTACAGAATGTTAGAAAAAGAAGACAAAAAAAATCTGTAAATGTAAACGAATCATTTCACTCACTAGAGCTTATCAGCCTGCAGAGCCCAGGGACATTAGAAGAAACCTAATTAAGATTGACACAACCAACATCCTTATTTAAGTCAACATCCTAATTTCATTTGCTATAAAAAAAAAACCTGTATAACAATGTATAAATATTTTTGAAAGTGACAGCTAAAAAAACTTCTGGAGAATTTTTATCACTTAGTGTGACCCAAAACTATACACAATTACACAGTGCTGTTGTCAGACTCACCGATATACATGAAGTGTCCTGGGACTATTCTACTCCAAATGATGTTTTATTTCTCTACTGTACATGGCTCCTTTACTATAAAGTGCAGTTTTATTCATTCCTTATGTTGCAATTTTTAAATATTATTTTTAGTTATATGGACATAATATCTTTATTTTGTTTATTTATTTTTATGTGGTGCTGAGGATCGAACCCAGTGCCTCTTGCAAGGCAAGTGCTCTACCACTGAGCCACAACCCCAGCCCTTATGTTGCAATTTTTAATGTTATAGTTCTGATTCCAGAATGTGTATTGCATTTGATTACATTTTAAGTTGGGTGGGAAATGTTCACGTTGATCACTAAAGTGATGTGATAGAGGTTTGTGTTCTGTCAGCTCAATGTGCATGGTGAAATTAGAAAGGGACTGAACCAAGTGTCTATGAGAATGTGACCAGGCTGTTGGATGCCTGTGGCTTAGTAGGCCAATCTATACAGTAAAAAGAATCACTAAGGGATGGTTTCCTATTCTTTAAAATAGGCAAAAAATGTCTGCTTTTACTGCATCAAGCTTTTACTATAAGGATTGAACAAGGTAGTGGCACTGCTTTGCAACAATTATAAACAGCTCTAGAAATTGTAACTGATATTATTGCAGTTTTCTACTATTACCTGCTCATCAATGTTATTATAATTTATATCCATGTATTTAAGAAAAGAAAGCATCTCATCAAGGTTTGAATTATACACTGAAGCTACTTCTTTGTTTTCAAAGTGCTACTTGCTTATTTTGTAGTATAATCAAATGATGAGATTTTCTTAATTACTGGTCACCCACCTCAAACAACAGGCACTGCAGTGGAGTCCCAATGACTAAAGGAATAATGAACCCAGCAGGGATAGAACCCCCCTAAGCTTTAGAAGTAATATATCAGACATGACAGAGATTCTTTAATGAAAGTCATAAATTACAACTGCTTCTAAACTAGGGACAAATATTTTTGCACTTCCTCTGTGGATGAACCCAAGACCACGTCATTCATTGAGTTCTCTGGTATATAGTGACATCGTGGGAAATTAACAAAGAAGTGGAGCCCTTCCCTTAAATAATACCAAGTGATTAAGAGAACCTAAAAAAAAAAATCAATTGACTAATCAATAGTGTGTAACTGCTTGGAGCATTTTTTCCCCTATACAAATCAGTCATTGAGTTGTTTAAACTAAATATCTCATTTCCCCAATTACTGAGCTGATTTACAAACATGGTCAAGAATGTCAGTCTAGTGGAGCAAGATTCCAGGACGTTTGTCACAAACAATTTTTAAATGATCAGCTCCTGCTACAGACTCAGAAGACTCTTAAGATATCATGAGAGGTATTCTCCAAGTTTCCAGACATTGGTGGATTAATGTACTAACCCTGTATATTTGTTTGAGAATCAGAGTGGGAATTTGTTTGAATTCAGGAGTGATGGAGGTCAAAATCACTGAAGAGAACATCTATATACAGTCTAAATGTGCAGGTCTTTAAATTTTTTTCTTTAACTTCAGCTATGGTGATCAGCATGCAGCAACCAAGAGTCTGAATTCAAAACAAAAGGTTATTCTAGCAACATGTAAAGAATCCCTGCCTGTATATTGCCAGCAACTCTAATATCGGAACAACTTCTAAACTTTTTTTTTTTTTTTTCAAAAAGTTAAATGCCACGGTGGGGGAAAACACTAAGAGATAACTTTAAACAGAGGAAAAACTTTTTTTATTGATATGTTTTACTTTGCTGGCAGACCAGAGCAAAGGTTTTGTGAACATTTAAAAGATGAAAAAGGTGAAGAATCCCAGAAGCGGTTTATCTTGAAGCGAGATAACTCTAGTATTGATAAAGAAGACAATCAGGTTGGTTCTCAAGTTTGAGAGTGGCTGACATTGTTGTTTTTGAAGGTGGGCTGACTGATGTTCTTGTCATTCCTCTGTTGTCCCCTCCCCGCCTCCCAGCCCTCCCCTGCCTCTGATACTACTGCCCTCTCTCCAAACCCTGGCTTCCCCTTGCCTCCCCCTTTGGCATTCAATGGGTAGCCAAAAACTGTCTGGTTGCTTTAGCAATGGCTCTGTGTTGGGCTGCATGGGTGGTGCTTGGCGCAGTTCCTGCTGCATGTCTTGTGGGGGGGGCGGGTCGGGGTGCCACAGGCTCCGAGCTGTGGGGAAAAGCTTTGTCAGTCGCATTTCCAGATGTCTGTGTAACTCTGGCAGTCGTTCCACTCCCTACAGCTTTGTCCTTCAGTTGTGCACAAATTGAGCTGGATTTTCAATACGGACCGATGATCAACCGGTGTAGCTGTAAAGAACAAACCTTGTTATGGTGAGGACAGGTGGATTTTGCAACTATCCTAAAATAAGACTTCACAGAAAAGACTTTGAGTTCATGTTCTAGTCTCCCACCCCCTTCTCCTGCCCATGTTTTATGGTCCATGTAAACTGTCTGCTCGTTTTGCATGAAGTGTAGCAGAACTTTATCCTTGTGTATTGTTTGTGACAAAACATTGTGTTGTTCTAGAGTAGCAATAATCATGGTACTTCCGACAAGGGTAAAGAGACTTTACGAAATCTTTTCTCTAAGTCGGGGGAGGATGTGGGGTCCAGGGTGACTAGGAAGAACACTAAGTAAAACAAATTTTTAAATGATAACAAGCGCAGTAGAAAGTCAGCTGAATGCCATTACAATTATACTTTGTGTCTCTGACAATCAAAATAGTTTTTTGTGTTGTTTTTTTTTGGAAATGACTTTTTGCTTTAGAATTTTTAAAGGTAAGACAATATGCATCTCACTCAAGTTATTTTAATTACTCTCTGTGAGTCACTGGAAGCCAGTGTGTGCATTTCTGACACACTTTTTTGAAACCTGTTCATCATTTGTATCTCATTTACTCCCACCACCACCACCGAGCTACACCGTGGCTCATGTTGCCCATGAGACATGTGCCTGCGTGGTGCACTTAGTGGGTGTCTGTTGCGTGGATGGGTGAATGCGGTCAGTGCAGAGCATTTGGTCAGGGATGGTGAAAATTAGGAAGGCAGTTGAGATGCAGGAACTGGTCAGATGAGAGAATGAAGAGCACTCCTCATGCTGGGTTCTTTGAATTGTTTTCTTTAGTTTTCTTCTATTGACCCTTATCAACAAACAGGTTTTGTTAGATTTAGTTTATAAGCCTGAGGTCCTTCTTCTTATATCAGGTGCAATTCACAGAATCAGTCACTGAGTGAATAAAAAATGCAAATTAAGAGATTGTATCCATATCTTTCTTTCTGTCCCCCACTCTATTTGTTCACTTACATTTTGTCCAGTTCTGAACTTTTCAAAGCCATTTCTTCCTTCAGTCACCTTGAACTAGCCATTTCTTCTTCTTTTTTTAATTTTAAATAAGCATTTGGACTCCTTCTGAGGAGTCAGATTATCCAGGATAGCAAGGGAGACAGAATCCATCCCTGGTGAGCCACTACATACCTGCACTGGCTGAACACCCAAGGTACATTCAGGCTTGTACATTTTAGATGCACCTGTGCTACTTGCATCCAGCAAGGCAGCAACCAGGAGCAGCAGCAAACATTTGTAGTCATTGCATGCCACGCACACACATGATACATGTACCCCAAACAGCCTCCTTAGGGGCCAGAGGGAGTGAGACTTGTCATGCTCCATTTGTTTAAATGAACATTTATTATTCTTAGCTGACAGTTGCTTAACTGCAGATTTCTAACAACTCAACTTGGATAACCGTCCTGATTTCTTTTTTCTGTTCAGCAAAACAGAATGCATCCATTTAGAGATGACAGACGAAGTAAATCAATTGAAGAGAGAGAAGAGGAATATCAGAGAGTGAGGGAGAGAATATTTGCACACGATGTGAGTAGTTGTTTTAATTGCCTCTTTAGTGTGGTCCTTCCATCAGCAGTAAGGCAGCCTCATTCCCCAGACAGTGAGCTGGCAGGAAGTAAGGAGACTGGAGCCAGGGAACAAATAGAATTGCAGCAAACCAGAGGTGTTTAGAGGACCTGGTTCAGGGAAGTGATGGAAAACTAGCCAAGGGTCTGGGTGTGTTACTAGGGTATGACTGATAGGGGTAGAAAGGTTTAACATTAGTCAACAAAACAGACCTTCAGTACCAAGGAAGGATATCTGATTTGCAACAGTACCTTAACATCCATATCAGGCAGCAGATCACCTGTTAGTGTATATTTTAGTACACCAACATTGTGCAGAGGAAATAATCACAAAAAGCAGCCCATTGATCATATACACACATAGAACCATATAAATATCCAGAGTATTTTCTGAGTCTTTAGAAAATATGGACTCTTCATTTTCCTGAAGTTAGATAATCAAATTCATCTTTTCCCCCTGATTTCAGATCCGTTCAGGTCAGAGAATAGTCTGTCAAGGAAGTAATCATAAAACAATTTCTTTTGTTCAAATCCTAACAAAGAAAATGGGACAGGAATATTTTTTAGCCTTCACCCACTATGGCCAAGAGAAAATGCAATTAAATGAAATAAAAAAAAGTAAACAAGTAAAAGTTTGGTTTAAATGCAAGGACTTTAAAAGGGCAAGTAGTCATTGTAGCTTTCCATTCTAGGAAATCACTTGGGGCCTCCTCAAACATTGTGGGTTCTTTCCTTTGCAGAAGGGAAGATGTGAGCTCCTTTGTGGTGTTCTCCATGGCCAAGGCTTTCAGCCTTGCCTCAGCAGGGACAGTGTTTGACTCCTGCTACAGTTTGTTCCTAGAGACCACACAGTCCAGCCTAGAGAGCTTGGCGTCAATGCTCAGCACAGAAGCAGGAGGGCTGTTGTCCTGGGTGGCTTCAGGCCAAGCCAGTGTCTGTGACCTTCTGCAAGTGCTGGTTCCTTCATCTAAGGCTGCAGGAGTGATTCAACGTCTTCTAACTGCACTTCTTTCACATTTGAACCAACCCCAATCTTCTAGAATACACTAAAATAGAATTTTGATGACGGGTGCCCTAGAACTCTGAAATTGGGAGAGTGTGAGAGTGAGATAGAACTCTCCATGGCTGGAGGTCCGGATGCAATTCTATAAGATTCTGCAGATGTAGGGGCTACTTAGGCTTTTGCTGTAGACATAATTTTTGGTGGGACATAGCACAGATTGGCACACTGGGGTTTTCATTGCATTTGCTAGATACAAGAATGAAGTGATGAGAGGATCTAATTTTGTCACAATTGGGAAAGAATACCTACAGTAGGCTGGGTGGCAGCATGTTCGTTCCTAAAGCCTTCACAGAGAGATTTTTTTTTTTTTTTTTGGCAGATAGTCCTTTTCGCAGATAGTTTTTTTATTCTTCTGTTCTACGTGCACTATTGCTCTCATGCACACATGTACACACTTTTTTTTCTCATGCTTTGGTTCTGACAAGTTAGGCGATTTGTGAACAAGTTGTTATATTGAGAAACAAATACCGACTGCAGACAATGCATAGCAGTATTACGTTGTTTTTTTTTTAAAGTTGTATCACAGAGATAGGTGATGAAAGCACTCTTTCAGATAGATGGCTGTCGGGCTGAGGATGATGCCTGTGCTGCCTTCATTTAGTGATTCTCAGGTCCCTGAGCAGTCACGGTCATCTCAGAGATCAGGAGTCTGCACAACCCTCTTTATGCAGACTTCCTTACCACCCTGCTAAAGAAATTAGCTGCTGGGGACCTATGATGCAGGTTAAACCACAGCAGGCCATTTAAAGACTTCATGGCCACTTGCTCTATTTATTTATTTATATTGACATGCTGGTGATTGAACCCATGTCTTCCGCATGACAGGCAAGCACTCTACCACTGAGTTACACACCCAGCCCTATTAACATTTTTTTGAAAAGTAAAAGCAGACTTAATTGTGAAAAAGCTCAAATTCCAAGCCAGGGCCCTAACCTTTTCATTGCACCACATTCTTTGGCAGCCTTCTTTCAAATGATGTGACTTGTTCCCTCTGCAGACACAGAGATGTGAGCTGCTTTCCTAGGCTCTCTGGTGACCATTTCTGGCTTTAATAATTTAAATGGGGCACCATCCTGTATCTGGCACTACTTTGAACCTGCCATCAAAGGATAGGACTTTAAAATTAGTAACCTATACAGAAAATACACTCACAGAAGGGTTTCCAGAGTCAAATGGAAGTTCCAATATCACTTATAAGATGTTATGTGCATGAACATGTGTCCATTGTCTTTCTACCTGACCCTATAACTTGCTAGAGATACTTAAGTATACCACTAGGTCTTTAAGTATTTATTGCAGTGTGACAAGTTATCTGAAAATTTTGCAGTTTCAAACAAACAAAATTGCTTATTTCCATTTCTGTGGGTCAGGAATCTGGGAGTGACTCAGTTGGGTAGTTCTAACTCAAGGTGTCTAGCTATCATCTTAAGGCTTGACTGAGTAACTGCCTGTGTCCATACTCACATACTCAAGTCGTTATTGGCAGGCCTCCGTTCTTCCTTGGCAATAGCCTGGAAGTCTCCATTCTTTACTAGGTGGGCTCTTCCACAATCTGCTAGTGTCTTTGTGAATGATAACTAGCTTCCTCTGGAGAAAGTGATTCAAGAGAGAAACAGAGACATCCAAAGATGGAAGCCACAGTCTTATATAATCTAGTCTCGGCACTAATGTATGTTCCTTTCTGCCATAGTCTATTGGACACACATACCAACCTCAGAACAGTGTTGGAGGTCCCACATAATGTCATGAATATTAAGAGGCAGGGAGTTTTGGGGGCGACTCTATATGAACAGAACAGTACTGTATCCTCTATGACACAAATTCTCAAGGACGTGGCATAGCAACATAAACTTTCTTGAATAGCACACGTAATAACAGATCTCCCTCACCATTTACATCATGACAGCACATATTAGGGGGCTTTCATCTGTACATTTCTAGGTTCCCAAGTGATCACTGATCACTGCCCAAACTGTTGAGGCACAGAATTGTTCTTTCATAAGGTAATAAAGTAAGTTAGGTCAATTATAAAACAAATGCAAAGGATCCAGCATAAGGAAATTATATTATAGAAATATAATCTTTTTCTTAGATCATCTTTAATTTAGTTTTCTCATAATTTAAAAATTGAGCCAACAAAATCAGCTTTTTTCAGTAATTAGTTAGTCAAAGCAGTTCAAATATTGAAAAAGCATACGTAATTTTTTTTTGCTACTTGAAGCAACAATGAGATGAGAAATACTTTCTAGTATTTACAGTTGAATAAAAATCAAATTTATTTTAAAATTAGAGATGTTTTTGTGTATTTTCCATATGTATCTTGTTGTCTAAGGTGTGTGTGAGTGTGTGAAGAGTGTGAGGGTGTGTATGCACTTTTATATGCAGGCACATAATCAAAAATGCAGGTTGCTTTGGTGGTTTTTCTAGAAAAAAATTCAAATACAGGTTGTTAATTTGAGTATCTTGAAATCAGATACATTAATTAATTATTTGAGAGCTAAATAGGTGTTCAGAGTGCAGAAGAATTTAGCTCTCAAATAACAAATTATCATGTTTTTATAGTCAGTAATATTTGGGATCCAACTCTTTTACTTTGGCAAGGATTTCAGCTTCTTTAATGGTTAATTTTGTATGATGTTGCTAAATTGGGGAAATTTGGTTGAGAAAACAATACAATTGGGAAAGTTATGTTTTGCCTGGATGGTAATTGGCAAAGGATATCTGTGTATAAATTGGAAATTAGGGAGGAGCTTGTCCAGGGTCTTCCCAGCACACACTGAGATCCCTCTTCAGGGAGAAGGATTCAAGGATATGTGATGCCACCAGAGGTGGGGGCGGGATGTGGGAGAGAACTCTGTAACCCATTAGGCAAAATCATTTTTCTCCTTTTTTGAAAAGGGAGCCTTTTATATCTTGGAATGCATATAAGTGACAGCTTTGAATGTTGCACTTAATTACTGTGACAATTTTATCCTTCTCTGCTATTAAATGTGCAAGTTATTAATATAATTTTTTAAAAAGTTTTATTTTCATCAGCTATTGAATCATAGCTAATAACCACCTGTGTCTTATTTATGAAAATGTGGTAAAGGGGTGATGAGATGATTTATTACTGGACCTTTCCACAAAAGTCAGAAAAATACTTTTGAGTTATGTTTTTTGGAAAGGTATCCTTGACTTGCTTTTTATTCAAAGAGTTTGAAAATCTTACTTTTTATTCAAAAAGTTTGAGTTGCTTCATTTCCTCCCAAATGCTATTAGATTCACAAATCTGAAGAGGTCGGTATGTTTATGAAAAACTCCTTCTTATGAGAAGTGGATTTCCTGATAAGTCCAGTCCCATGCAAAATAGTATAAACTTAGTTGACCCCTTTCCAACTGATGTTGAGCTGAAAAGTAGCAGAGAATCGACCTTATAATGTATACCTTGAAACAACCTCACTTTCTTTTATATACCATGACTTGACTCAAGTTGGTAGGTAGCAAAACCAAACTAACAGAAATAAAGAGGCTAGGGTGTTTAATGTACCCTGAAAAGATCTTTACAGGAATAATGTTGATGGCACATTATTTGTATTTTCCTCACTTTCTACATATAAATGTCAAATTTCAAAAAGCTATTTTCTGAAAGTAGAGATTTTAATTGGCTCTTTTTGCCTTTTGATACGTTAAGGTTTTTGCACACCTGAGATTATGGATACCTTTTCAATATAGAAAGGTTGAAACAAATGATTCTAGAGATGTCTGCACCGAATGCTCAGACCACTGAGCAAAACACCATGTCTCACTCCATCCCCTCTGGCTTAGTGGAAGGAAATGATTTCTCCAGCAAATTGAAAAGAGAAACCAATATCCTGCTTGCCTCTTTGAGCAGCGGTTACATTAGCAACATCTTTTAGTTCAAGGCTCATTGAAAGGTCATTAGTTAGTATTTCTTCAGTTTTGTTTATCTTAAAATAGACCAGCTATGTCTCCATTTATGCCTTTAATTGTCACTTATCATTTAGAAAATATACACATAATATGGTGCTTGTATACTTATATTTAGAAATTTAATACTTTGAAAGTGGTCTTGTGTCCCAGCACCATAATTTGCCTAGACTTCTCTTATTCTGCTTGTTTAAGTTTAATCTGACTCACCATTCTCCAGCATGTAATTCTGACAGAATTCTATCTTCCCCACATTGTATATTAACCACAAGATAAGAGAGAAATGAATTCTAGGCAAACAGATGTAAAAAAAAAATAAAATAAAGTCATTGGTTTTCTATGTGCAAAACTAAGAAATATCAGATGGAGTTTGATAGGTTTTTTTTTTTTTTGGTTTTTTTTTTTTTTTTTTTTTTTTTTACTAATTAGGTTTGATTCATTAAACTTGTGTTCTATCCTCCTTATTTATTATGATCACAGATAGATAGATGGCATTTCTTCAATTTTGAGAGACCAGTGGTTAATCTCTTTCTTTTGTGAGAGTTTATAGTTGCCAGGTATGTTATTGTAGAATTGTGGCTTCACACTTCTCCCATTCTTAGGTGGATTCATCCAACCTTGCATGCTGTGCCTTGATTTGAGCCTGTTCCCCTGGCTTCTGTTGGTGACTGTACCTCCACAGCTCCAGAAGAAACCACTCGCTGCTCAGACTCTGAAGGTGGTCATGAGTTTCTCCAGCAATTTCATTCACATTTCTCTTCTGACCATGAGGCTGAATGGTGCTCAATCTGTTGAAAACCTGGACATATCCCCTGTGCTACATGAGAATCGTTGACTTTTCTAACACTAACCTATATTTTTTCCTTTTTAAAATTTCCATCTTTTGTACATATTTTTCTTAATCCTTTTCCCTTAGGAGGGGAAAGGTAATTTTAAAATCAAGAAAGGATTTGGGACCACCCTCAGCATATCCAGAACATCTGATACAATGCTTTTCTTTTATTTTTCAGTCAGTTTGCTCCCAGGAAAGCCTTTATGTGGAAAACAGGTAAAATGAAATTTTATTTTTTGTGTCGTTAGAAGAATAGTTTGTCATGTGTGTCCTGTATATTCCCATATACATATATATCCCATATATAAGTGTGCTTGAATATATGTATAAATAAATACATATATCTGTGTGTGCACGCATATATATTCACACTTATGTTATTTAACATGTCTAAACACACATATATTTTCACTTATGTTATTTAGCATGTCTAAAGAGTATTTAATTTGGGGAAAAAGTTCTCTCAGTTACTTTCAAACAGAGGCTTAAACAGTTTCCTTATTTAGTCTCAATCCTGTGTCCTTCCCAAGGTGGAATTCCTGTTACCTTCCCCAGGCATTGAAACAAGGAAATATTGAGTCTACACAGGAATTTGCAACTCTATTGGCTTATTGAGAAGGCTGCTTAAAGGACTTTATTTGGTATTATTAGCCACTTCTATCCTATAATTCTATAGCTAAACAAAAAATAATTGGAATAATATTACTTTAAGTTTCTCATTCTTAAATATCAGTTCATCTTCTTAAAGAGCTAACATGGAAAACTTCATCTAGAGCTGGGTGTGGTGGTGCATACCTATAATTCCAGCAGCTCAGAAGGTTGAGGCAGGAGGATTTGAAGTTCAAAGCCAGCCTCAGTGATTTAGCATGGCCTTAAATAACTCAGTGAGACTGTGTCTCTATATTAAAAATTAAAAAAATAAATAAAAAGGCCTGTGGATGTGGCTCAGTGGTTAAGCACCCATGGGTTCAATCCCTGATATAAAGACAAAGGAAGCAAGCAAGCAAGCATACCTGTCTAAATGTAGCAGTTCACCTGTCCTGGGAGTTAGTGGAGGGAGGTAGTTGTGAAATTTATAGTCTTCGGAATAAGACTAGACATTTTTCACACTTAACATATATCTTTCTAAAAGTACCTTTTTAAAATGGACCTAAGTCGACATAGATATTAAAGTGTCCCCTTGATTTAATTGCAGATATTCAGGAGAAATTAAGGAATCCATATTAACAGGACTAATCACATTTAAGATGTATTAAAATCTACAACTTGATTTAGAAATATAGTATTCATAAATAAGTTGTTGGTGAATTTTATTTCAGGTGTTGGCTTAATGACTGTTCCACTAAAATTGGTTAAAATGGAGACTAATTCAATGCCAGTACCATAAATAAATTAAAACTTGGCATTAGAGATAACTGATTGAAAAAAAAAAACACACTATGTTAGCACTTGGAAATCTACACGTAACTGAAATCTTCACGTAATTTTCTTTTATCTTAAAAAGTATTATAAAATAAGTCTATATGATCTCTGTGTTTAAAAAAATTATGATTCATACAGAATTTGGCAAATTTTCCTATTTTTAGGGAAACTGAATCCGGGAGCATTAACATTTTGGTGATGATTCTGAAGCATTCCAAATTCTATATCCATATAAAAAAATTAAGTATTAAGTAAGCATTTGCAATTTATTTGGGTGGGAAACCTTATTCCCTAGTCTTCTAACCAGTAATTTCCCCTACCTTACACCCTAATTCTATTCATCAGTTGGCTTCTAGTCAACATTACAAGAATAACTCACATATACGCTTTGCATATGTGAAGTCCTGATGGTCCTAGAATTGAGTGACTTTCCTATAAAAATAAATCTATTTCTAAAATTATTGCCTCTAGAATTTCAATATTTCATCATGCTCCCCAAATAAAAATAATATTACTTAAGAAAAAAACCACTACTTATATGTTTTGTTAAATCTCTTATTATATTTATAGTGATTTCTTTCATTATCCTCACTCCTTCTGTTTCCTATATTTCCTCTCTCTTTCTCTTCTTTCTTTTCTGGCATCTGTGCCTTCTTCCTAGGGTAGGGGAATTAATTCTGTCACACTGTCATTAATTTATTATGACAAAACTTAATGTCGCACAAATGAAACATAGTGTGTGGGAATTTACAATAAAGGTGTGCTATAGCAGAGTACACATCCATTTAACATAAGGCATTTAGTATCCTTAGGTTTTATATCATAAAAACCATGTTTTTCATTTCCAGTAGGCTCTTGGAGGACAGTAACATATGCAATGAGACCTATAAGAAAAGACAGCTCTTTCGGTTGGTATGGTTTACTTTTTTAAACTGTGTTTTCAGATTATGTGGCAGAATCGATGTTAAATATAAGTGTATTAGTGTAAAATATTTCTGTTCATGAAATAAAACATGTTCCGTGCTCTCACTGCAGAGTTTGTTACCCAGCTAGTGTGGTATCGTATGGATCATGTGAGAGGCGGGACTGGAAAGCTACCTCTTTCTACGTGGTTCTCCAAGGTTCTTCTGCTGACTTTGTGTGTTTCGGGACTCACTTTGGCAACACACTTATTTAGCATTCCCAAACTCTTTCAGCAAATTATACCAAGTTAAAATTTCTCTGACAGTTTGAAATCGAGTACATATTTCCAGCGCTGGAAAATACATCAGTGATAACTATTTGGTTAAGTAACTTTTAGGTCTCTATTTTCCCTCATAATATTCAAATGTATTTTTAAGCACGAATTTTATTTCTAAAGGAGGCTATGATGTTCCTTCCAATTATAGTGAGCTACTTAAATTGAGATCTGTGTAGGATAATGGGAAAAGATAAAAAAATATATATATTTTAAAGTTCTGTGTTCAGATGATAGCTCCATAGATGCAGAGGGACCATACCTATTTTTATTTTTAACCAACCTATCAAATATATTAACACATTTGTAAATAGTAGGATACCTCTCTGCTACAGGAAAGGCAAAACCAAAAAAGTTTCCTATTAAGAAGAAAGAAAATACTAAGAAATATGGATAAATCGGGTGTTCAGAAATTATCTTTATGCCATTAAATCTGAATTTAGTGAAATCAGAACAATTGGTTCCTCTACACTAGGGCAGAAAAAAATCCTGCATCTCTTTCTTGAAAACCCAGAGAAAAAATAAAATTTACCATTACCCTTATAATCACGCTATGATTTAATTTGTATAGGCTAATATAGATAAAAACATGCATTTCACCCCCAAGAGGATGTTAGGTTTACACAGGCCCCAAACTTCCCCCTTTGAGGAGTTGCCCTATATTTAGGTCAGACATCCTAAACATAGATTCCATCACCTACCAAAATGACCAAGGACAGAAACTCAGAAAGACAACTTAGCTCAAGCCACCTACACAGTTGTGAAGGCAATCCAGAGTGCACATCATCCATAACTGGGGCAAAAAAATTACAATGTTCATAAATGTAAGAAAATGGACACATCAGTTGTTAATCAGCACAGACTGAATTTAGAGTATGTGCTTTGTGTCTCTCCTAGGTTTAAATTCTAGTTGCCTATGAAAGGGCCACCTCCAATGACTGGATATTCTATTCCTACTCTTTTCCTGGATTCTAGTTAGAGGGGTCCAGCATTGAATTTAAGAGGGAAAGTGAAACACCTGTCAGACATGTTTTTCTATAAAGTCTATGATTTCACACTCTGACAGATATGAAATTCAATTCTGGGCATCACCCTGCCATTGTTGGGCTAAATAATCAATGAATAGAATAGTACAAAATATGTTTCAGTGTGTGAACACCTACAACCATAAAATAGATTCACATGCTATTTTGAATCTCATTAATGCTAACTCCCGGAAGCAGCAACTTATTTTAAAAATGCACAGATCTTGGCTTGGGATGATGAGTTGAGTCAGTAATCAAAGTAATAAAGCTAAGAAAATCTCAGGTTGTCTTACTGACCAAATGATGAGGCCAGTCTAGAAGACCTCTCTTCTCTCTAGAAATAGCTCTACCAGGTGAAAGGGTGTAGAGTACAACACAGGACTAATTTGCATCCAGGGAGAGTGGTGCTTATCTCCTTTGCAAAGAAATTCTCGGCTATGCTGACATATAGAAGTCTGGATTCCTCACATGGATGTGCACAGGTCGTGGGGAGAGGCATATTGAAGCAGAACTAGTGATGGGAAAAAGGGTTCACTACTCACTTCTTCTGATGTATCCTACATACTGAGGTTAGGGACCATCCCACATGCAAGCCAGTGTTTTTCTATAATAAATATTCCAAATTAACTACAAATGAGATTATTCTCATATACCTGGTGAATTCATAATTGCTAAGTAATGATTTAGCCAGACCTTGTCAAAGAAGGGGCAACATAATCAGAATTACACAGGAGAAGAATGAAGTTGAATTTGGATATGGAAAGAAAAACTATCAGGAATGAAGCATCAAATTCTTGAAAGGGCAGTTTTTCTATATCCTATCTCCCATGGCTTTCTTATATTTCGAAGGAATGTAAGAACTAAAATTACCTGGCCATTGCTGAGGGTACTTCCTCCTGCAGCCTGGTCTTTTTCAGATGGTTCTTATTTCTAAACCAAGGACCTGAGGTTCTGAGAACAGAGAATGTAAGGAAACATTGATGGGGAGGCGGGGCAGGTGGCAGGGCATGGAGTGTTTTCATCCAGTGTTCTCTTTGAAAATGTTTTTTTTTTGTTTTGTGAGTTTTCTGTTTCACTTTCTCCCCTTGCTTGATGAAGTTCCTGTCACAGATTAGCTAATTTCATTTTTATTATCTCTTGGATCCATTTGAAGCAAAACCTAAATTTCTGTGCACCTTCTGCAGAGTGTAGTTGGTGAGTGTTTAAATGAGCTATACAGACCTCTAGCATATCTCAATAGCAATAAAATTATTGTCTTTAAAAGAATATTTTAAACAAAGCTCCTGGATCACAGTTATGAGACTGGATTCAGGACTTGAACATGTCACATTTTATACTGATATAAAATTAAGGGCCATATTTATTGCCCATGATATATGTCCCCTTTCACTTCTTTATAATCTACAAGAATCTTAGGATATTTTATCGATGGGTTATTTCCATCTTCAGAAAAAGTGTCAGAAATATTAACAAAGTTACTTTTCGAGCACATTGGAAACCAATGAAAATGCAATTGTTTTTTTTATCAAGTTTCTTAATAGAACACATGCAGCTTTGCATACTCTTTAAATTACTCTGGAGGCTTCAAAATTCACTTCTAGCTATTGGATTACCTCTAGTGCATTCATTGTATTTGAATTTTGAACAAGTATGATCTTTCACTTCAAGATATTTCTGGTATTTCCACTGACCCCTCTGGAAAGCTTCTTGTCAGTGTATGGCGTATAGTGTTGACACTGTTGTTTTCACAGGCTTTTCTGTGTGAAAAGGATTAAAAGGCTATTTCCTCTACCATGAAGGTTAAACTCATCAGGAGTAATTCTTACCAGGGGTTAGCAATTTCTGTGACTTCTGTGCTGTCTGTCATATCCTTTGTGAGTTCAGATACGTATCATAAAGTTGCAAAACAGACTAATAAGTAGCTTTTCTGGACCTGTATGGATTTTCCAAGCCAATTATTCACTGCTGAAGAAACAGAAAAAAAAAAAAAAAAGAATACCCTTCTTTCGTGGGAATTCCTTTTAGAATCATTTAAAATTATAGTTACCTCTGAACACGAATTCATTGTTGGATTGGCTCACGAGAACTTATCCCCCTATCCTCTCTGCAAGAGAAGGTAACAATTATATTCTATGCCATGTTTTTCTAGTTACTTCTTCTTCCCTGGCAGAAGGATCATGTGACATTCCTAGGTTTGGTTTTTCTGTTTGTGACATGTGTGTCATATGTGATGTGTTATCTGTCTATACATCATCAAGGTGCTTGTAGCAGTGTTTTGGGGAGCCAGTGGCTTAATTAAAGGGTTAACAAGAAGGGTCTTGCATAGATGACTCTTCCAAGAAAGGCCCCATCTATGCCCACCCACCCCGTTCGTGCACCGTAACTCTGTTCCTGTGCGTCTTTCTGATGGCCATGCTCCAGGGGCAACAGAGATAGCTCAGGGAGAACATCTGGGAGTCGGCAGAGCAGCTCGGAGAATGAACTCAAGTGGTCGGACCACCAGAGGGCCTGGAGCAGCACAGACTCCGACAGCTCCAACCGCAATCTGAAGCCCACTATGACCAAGACGGCGAGTTTTGGGGGCATCACGGTGCTGACCAGGGGTGACAGTACGTCTAGTACCAGGAGTTCTGGGAAGCTGTCCAAAACAGGTAGTTAGTACTGAATGGGTTTATGTCCTCTGATGTTTCGGGGTTCTACCTAACCCTTCCTGTCACCGTTCTCTCTTTGAATTAACTAATAACAATGTCATTGATTACATCACATTCTAGGCAATTAGAAGGTACGGTTTTAATAGGCTACCCTCTCTTGCTGTGCACCTAAGTCAAGTTCTTGAACTCATTAATCTTCAGTTTCCTTATCTATAAAATGTAGGTTATCGTAGAATATTACTTGAACCCACATCATTAGACTTGAAATTTACTTCATTTACATTCAGTTACTTAAACTTAAGTTTTCCCGGTAAACTTAATTGAAGTTGAAATTAGATCACTTTCATAAAAATGATTACCATGGCACTTACACATAGCAACTATTAAAGTTAGCTATTGTTTTTCAATTGAATACTAAGACTTATTCCTTGCAGCTATCCATATTAAAATATTTATAGATTTGGTTCTTGTATTAACATACTGTCAGTATGATACTCAGTAAGTCACTTGCCTATGTCTGCCTGTTTCCTCATTTGAGATATGGAAATAATAGTATCCATGTTGTAAGGTTATCAAGACTAAAAGCATAAAGATTTTCAAAGCCACTTGAATAATACCTGGAACATTATAAGTACCCAGGAAACACTCATTCATTTTTATTATTGCCATTTAATATTTTCATGCCTGTTTTACATTTAAGTGAGTCTTAGAGAGGTTTAGATTTTCTGAGTATGTGCCTTTTTTTTATTTCTGTGATTTTTTTTATCCCAAAATAAATAATTTTATATAGTTAGATGGATATAGATATATACATGTAGATATAGTGATATAGATAAAGTGATATATATGTATATACATGCAAAAATATGTATTATATATCATATATACATTGTTTTTTTAGTTTTTATTCATTTATTTATTGTGTGTGTGTGTGGGGGGGTGTACTTGGGATTGAATCTAGGACCTCACAAATGCTAAGTCAGTGCCCTACACTGAGCTACATTCTCAGCTCTTTCTTTTCTTTTCTCTTTTTTTTTTTTTTTTTGAGAGGGTCTCACTAAGGTGCCCAGGCTGGCCTCACACTTGTGGTCCTTCTGCCTCCATCTTCTGAGTGGTTGGACTTAGAGGCATACACCACTGCCCTGGGCAATAGTGATACTTTGAGTTAGGTATATCATTCAAGTTAGCATGGACAGTCTTTAGGAGGTGAGTGATGATGGGAGATCCAGGAGAACCAGGATCAAGAACTATTTGACCAGTTTTAAATTGATGGAAGCATGACACTTGGTTTTGCCTTCGAAAAGCAGACTCCCTGACTATTACTAGGGGCGGGAGTTGAGAACTGAGAAAAAGCAGACTCCCCAACTATTACTAGGGGCACGAGCTGAGAACTGTGATTCAATGATCTGCCCTAGGTGTTAGGATATGCTGGGGGAACATTCCTGGGCTTCGGGTTGCAGGTGAGTGGAAACTTGGGCAGGGATGGTAATGATGAATGGATACCCCAGTTGGAGTATATAGTCATGGGCTGCCCTGCATTGGGAATCCTTTCCCCACCATACTTTGCACTTGGGCTAGGGCAGGTGAGGAAGGAATTCTGCAAAATCTCTTCATTACACTGATGGTTTAACATGATTACTTTGTTGACATATTCCTCCCACAAAATTATCCTATGTTTTCCCACATAAGAAGAAAATGAATAGCATTCATACAATTAACAGTCACTACAATATACTTATGTGGTGCTTCTTAGATCCAGGGGACTCATGCTGTCTTCCTGTGAATTCTGTTCACCAGTTGTGGAGTTCTTGATTTCCTACTCTAATTAATTGCTCTCGTGTCCCACTACTGCAGCAGCTGAAGTCAAGAAAATCCACTGTGGTGCTCTTGAGCTCTCATAAACTAAGAAAGGTTAAATACTTTTAAACCTTAAAATGCAGAAACCAAGTATCTTAAATAGTGCACTTAAAAATTCCAGCTCACCAAAAGAGCTCTTAAGATTTTAAAATTAATCATCATTTTCCACGCACCAACCCCCAATCATGTCCCTGGCAAAGCTCTTTGGAAACATTTAATACACTTGAAGAATGCTAAAATGCCATGTTCTTTGAAGAATGATTAGAGATTGTAAATGCTCAATATATATATTTTTCCTCTTTTAATTTAAGTGTCTCCATTTTAAAGCTTGTCAAGGTGTAGGCATGGAAAGCGGGAAATTTTTTTTTTTTTTAAAGAAACTCAAGATAGGATGTCAAAACAAACTTACAATTTCCCAAGATGGTTTTATGAAGTAAAGCTGTCAGTTTTGCTGTCACGGAGCTTCAGATCAGCACAAGTTTCTTTTCTTTTCTTTTTTGTCTTGTACTTCATTGTTCAGGTAGAATTGCAAACTTTTTAAAAAACTTTCAGAGACTGAGTCTGGAGTTTGACATTTAAGTTACTCTTCTCCTCTTTTAATTACATGGGTTTCAGCTTTAAGTAGGTAATAATGAGACTTTTTTTCCATGCCAGAAGCATGCTTTCCTACATTTTAGTTGAAAGCATCTTACTGAGGACTGAAAGTACAAGCACATCCACATGTCTGGATGCATCTGTGGAGGTCATGTTGCCATTACATTGTCCTTATGAAGAGCACTTGAATGATGTTTGTACTGCAACCTCACTTTTTCTTGGTAATGGCAATATAGTTGAGAAATTGGAGTGAATTGATTTCTTCTTATATTGGTCAAACACTACTGTTTTATTATCATCCACCATTTCACTCTGGAACAGGGGTTCTCCACTTTAGCTGCACCTGAATCAGCTGAAGGACTTGTTAAGTCACAGATTGTAGGTCCTGCCCCAGAGATTCTGAGGCAGCAGCTGAGGAGTGGGGCCCAGAAATGTGCATGTCTAACTTTCCAGATAATAGACAGTGCTCTTTCTTGAGCAACCACACTTTGCAAATAGCTTTTGTAGAGATACAAGATGTCCTTTGGCTTTAATAATCTTTGGTGTCATGGCCAGTGGTTTTCCAGGTGCCAGAGCATCCTCCCTGTTGTCACATTCCTTGACTACATCCTGTTTTTGCATACTGTATGGGTGCCTAATCCTTTCCCTACTTCCTCTTCTTGTTAATCTTTCTTGCTATTGCTAATGCATCCTAGTATTATGCTAATATGTACTATGCTGGTAAACTTTCTTTCTGCTGTAATTTTGGAAACCATGGGTTCTTCTACTGACTGTGTCCACACCCTCCCTGCCCTGATCTGGAAATATTTTCTTGAATTAATTAATTCAGAAAAAAAAAAGAACCTTTGTGGTTTGGGATTCTTGTTAAAGAAAAGTAGTTCTTCATGGGTTAAATAAGCAACAGAAACTTTGTTGAGAGCTCTTACAATAAGGGTTAAGGCAGTCCCAATAGGGGAGACCGAAATAGCTCCACTGAAATCAAAGTGGGAGAGATTTTAAGCATTGGGATGAGCATGGGAAAGTTAGAGAGGACAGATTTATGTATTAAAGGCACAAGAAATACTTTAACAAAGGTGAGGTGAGGGGCTTCTGGTTGGAAGGAACCTGCCTCGGTTTAGGTCAAGTAAGGGAAACTTCAAGCCACCTTCTTTTTCACTGTTCCCCTTGTATTTAGTATAGGGCTTGCATTTCACAGAAAAGTATTCTGAGGCCTAAGGAGGAATCATTTCCCGAAGAAGACTAAGCTAGAAAGAAGCAGGCAAGAAACTAAAACCTGGGACCTGGCCCTCTACACCGCTCCCTGCCTCATCTCCCAACCCCCCACCCTGCCCCTGGAATCAGCTCATGCTGCTTCCTTCCAGCCCAGTTCTGTTGGTTTGGATTTTTTTCTTTGCTTTGTGATCTCTTTTCTCCTCTTTTCCCATTTCCCCTTTTTCTTCTGTTTCTCTTGAGAGTTCATCTGAGTCACCTAGCCACTCTGATGTATTCTTCCTTTCCCTATCATAAACTGCCCTAACATCAAATTTATTTATTCATTCATTCATTCATTCATTCAATCATGACAGCAAAGTGTGCCTTGATTCATTGTAGAAATGGAGCACAATTTTTTATTTCTCTGGTTGTACCCAAAGTAGGGTCACACCATTCGTGCAATTATACACGTACCTAGGGTAATGATGTCCATCTCCTTCTACTATCTTTCTTACCCCCATGCTCCCTCCCCTTCTCCCCTGTGCCCCAACCAAAGTTCCTCCACTCATCCCACGCCCAAATCCAAAGAGTGAGTTCACCCGCAATGTATGAGTGTGTGCCCCCTACTCACCCTCCTCACCCCTGCTTCCATATTCTAGATTATCATCCACTTATCAGAGACAACATTTACCTTTGTTTTTTGGGGGGATTAGCCTACTTCACTTAGCATGATATTCTCTAAATCAATCCATTTACCTGCAAATGCCATGATTTTATTCTCTTTCATTGCTGAGTAATATACAGTAGTGTATATATACCACAGTTTCTTTATCCATTCATCTATTGAAGGGCATCTAGGTTGGTTCCACAGTTTGGCTATTGTGAATTGAGCTGCTATGAACATTGACATGGCTGCATCACTGCAGTATGCTGTTTGTAAGTCCTGGAATAGCTGGGTCAAATGGTGGTTCCATTCCAAATTTTCTAAGGAATCTCCATACTGCTTTCCAGATTGGCTGCACCAATTTGCAGTCCCACCAGCAATGTATGAGCATGCCTTTCCCCCCACATCCTTGCCAACACTTATTGTTGTTTGTATTATTGATAACTGCCATTCTGACTAGAGTGAGATGAAATCTTAAGAGTAGTTTTGATTTGCATTTCTTTAATTACTTGAGATGTTGAACATTTTTTCATACATTCCTTGATCGATTGTATATTGTCTTCTGAGAAGTGTCTGTTCAAGCTCCTTAGCCCATTTATTGATTGGGTTGTTTGTTTTTTTGGTGTTAAGGTTTTTTTGAGTTCTTTATATATCCTGGAAAATTGGTGCTCTATCTGATGCTTAACATCAAATTTCTGTGTCTGGAAGTACTTGGCCCCCGGCTTGGTCAGGACCCTGGCTCTCACATAAGTGACATGATGGTGAACGAATAACCTAGAGACTTAGAACTTGGTCCATGTAGTCAAGTTGCCGAGGTTTGAACTGAGACTCCACCACACACTATGTGAGCCTTGGAAAATGCATTTAGCCTGCCTGGGGATCAGCTCTCATTTTCAAAATGAGGTTGCTATCAAAATTAAACTAGACAGTCATAAAGAGTGATTAGCACCTTGCTTGTTGCATGTACCATTTAAATTCTGACATACCATTTATATACTGACCAAGGCCATCATTAAGCCTCTGAACAAGGGAAAACTGGAACACTTTCAACTTGCAGCAACCAAAATCCTATTCAATTGATTTTAACCATTTGAATACATCTAATCTTTGCATTTTATTATTATTGTTAATACATCCAGCATTAAAGCTGGGCTGCCTGTGAGTAGACTACAGCTCTACAGATTCTAGCTGATAAGATCCTTACAAGGCAGACACAGATGGTTATGTACCAAACTGAAAGGCCAGTTAAAAAGTCTTAGCTGCATGTTTATTGCTGAGCTTCCCTCTGAGGATCTTTGGTCTTTATGTCTTGATTTCAAGTGTTGAGAACTTAATTCAACTTTAATCTTCTTCTTTCTTTCCACCTCCAACATCAAATCATTTGAATTGTTTCCTGCTCTTTTCTATTGATGCTGTTACTTTTCCCCCAAGTGACAGAGGAAAATATTGTCATTAATGGTTGATGGTCATTTTTCTGAAGCCAAAATGAACTCACGCTTCGGATTTGGCTTTGGTTGTTCATTTTCTGTATGCATCCTCCCCCAACACATACCCAAGCCAGCCCTAGCCCACACCTCAACTCAGATTCGGAAGGTGTATCCTTGGCCCCAGCTCCTCTCGCTGTCTAACTCCTTAGCCTGGAGATAAGTGAAAACAATGTTACATGACTTTAAGCATCTGGATGCAAGGTGTTGTTGTATTATTTCATAGTGCATCTATAAGCAAACACGACAATCTGCATTGAGACTGTGACTCCCGAATCATAATTTCAGTGCTGTGATCTCAAAACTATGCTTAGCATTTTCAATATTATTTTATATCCTTTATTTTTCTCCCCATATATTATTCAGAACCTCATGAGCATTCTAAACTACTCAGAGGTAGCATCCTGAATTAACCTAAAGCTTTATCACTATTAATAACCAAGTCATGGGAAAAGCAGAGAAGATGCCCAGCTGAGGACACTTGTGATTTCCCATGTTATACACCTTGCACACATTGGGGAGGCAGTGAAGAGTCATCATAAAAGGTGAGGCTGTTTTCCTAGATCAAATCCCAGCTCTGACATTATCTAACTCTATGAGCTACTTAGGTTATCAACTTCTCTGTGTTCACTTTTCCTATCTATACAGGTAGTAGTTAGTAGTAATTATTATTAAAATGTTTATCCAGGTGCTTACACATACTAAGTGTAAATACTACTGTTTTCCTTCTTGAAAGTTGTCTGACTTTCCAATTGCCCCTCTTCTCTGCAATTTCATGTCATAGTCCTATCCACTTTTCACTTATTTTAGAAAGTCTCCAGTTAAGCTAAGAGGGTATTTTCAGAATCTTGAAAAGAATGATAACTATTGCTTGTATTTTTTGATCTTTTATGACACAGAGGAACATATTTTGAATGACACAAATCAATAGTTGTGGGATGACTTAATAAATGTTTTTACTACATTTTGCAAACCATGTTATTATCCAGATCACCTATTAGCTTGAATTTACAATAATGAGAATTTAGTTTGGTGTATCTTCTCTCTAATGCTCTGGTTAATACTTAGTACCCAGAACAGCTATGTTTGATGCTGCTGGAGCTGTTTGGCTCTTGCTGCATTGAAAGGCAGAGAGTGCCCAGTAGACATGGGATACGACAGATGTTTTCTTTTTTTGTTTACAGTGGAGGGAGACACTATATGATTAGGGATCATTTCTACTTGGTGGATTCTACACGTTGACCCAGTTGTCTTCATATTTTGGAAACACATAAACATCCCCTATATTTGTACTCTTCTGAGAATTGAGAATTGAGAATACTCAATTCCAACTGAAGGATGCTTGATCATTATGAAGGCCAAGTTGTCCTTATTCCAGCCATCGACTACGTTAAAAAGAGTTCTTCAAATATGTGGAATACAGTACAAAATTTAAGCACTTAAATATGTCTTGTTAACACTAATAATAATGCCCATCATCTGTTTATACCAAGCCCAATATTTGGTTTCTCCCATTTTTTTTTAACTTAAATCCTTAAATTCTATGTTGTTCTATCATTCTACAAAAGAAAATTAATTTTCAGTAGTTTAAAAGTTTCGCCTGGTCAGCTGGTTAGAAAGAGTCAGCATCCTGATTTATCCATGTCTCCCTGACACTTTCAGTCCTGTACATATTCTCCTAAACCATTCCATTCCTTGAAAAAAAGATGCTATTTGCTTTTTAGATTTGTTCATTCTTTCGTGCTATGCTCCCAAGAGGAATGATCTAGTTTTTCTACTCACGTATGAGAGAAAAAGGTTGTTCCTCATGATCCCCCCCTTCAAAACTCAGCTGGGTGTTAGAGAAACAGTACTTTAGAACCATGCACATATTCAGGATGTACTAGGATTCCTTCTTAGGCTGCATTGTCTTCAACCCCTATCCTATTCATGTTATTCTTACCACTGCAACTCATTGAGACATCTCTATGGCATTAGTTATTCAAGGATATGAGAATTCACAAGTACTGAGTTCAGAGCTTCAAGATACCATTTCCCAATTTATTACCCCAGTGGTATGTGGAAAAGCTGAGAGCTGAGAGTGCTCATCTGAATGCCTCTTTCCAAAGAAAATAGACCCATGAAAAATATGTAGCAATGATTTCAATGAAATGTGGGCCCAATATTTAGTTAAACATTATTAATCTTGTCCTGTGGCAAGCACCTCAGTTACTTTAACGATGGGTTATAGAAAAGTAAGCCTTTAGACAAAGATCCATGTTCCTTGTCCTCTATGTTGTGTACCAAATGACTTGTTGATTCATATCGCTATGCCAGGTTCTGAGTCTTCCAGCAGCGCAGGCTCTTCAGGATCGCTGTCCCGTACCCATCCACCTCTCCAGAGCACACCCCTGGTCTCAGGCATGGCAGCTGGATCTCCTGGCTGTGTGCCCTATCCAGAGAATGCAGTGGGGGGCCAGGTCCCTCCAAGCAGCACCAGCTACATCCTCCTTCCACTTGAAGCTGCAACAGGCATCCCGCCCGGAAGCATCCTCCTTAATCCACACACAGGTTAGTTATGACCTATTTTAACAGAGATGCAAGATTATCAGTGGTTGGTTGTTGTGTTTGATTTTATGAATTTGCTAGTAAGTTTTCTGAAAATACCTGAGTAGGAGAGATGAATGCATGAATGCAGTGCAGCATCTTTGTTTAGGAGGGATAGGCCTACAGTTCATTGATATTTCCATATCTATAGCAATACAGAAACATTGCAGAAGATCCAATTTTCTCTCTGTCTCTTTTTCCCTGACCATGGTATCTCTCATGTATTCCTGGGAAGAAATATCAGAGACCATAGTGCAATGAGCTGGTGTATACTAATTAAAACCCTGTATTTCTCAGACCTAATTCCTGGTCAGCCTATATTATGTCAAAACAGATTTTTGCATCCAAAGATATTCTGGAAACTTGAGGAATCCAGTGAGAGACAGTGGATTCTTCTATATAGAAGTAGCTCTCTCACCTTAGAACTTCTCCCAACTCTTGTAAAGAATTAAAAAAAAAAAATAGCAATAATGAAGAGGGGTAAAAACAGAGCAAAGTTTTATGTATTTTAGGGATAATAGACCCAGACTGGTTTTGGAAAATTGTTTTTGAAAAACTGAGGAACATTTGCTTTGTAGAGGAAACTTCTAAATAAGAGGCAATTTTGTCCATGCCCCTGAGGAAGCAAAGTTGGCAGCATCCAGACATTTTGATTATCATGACATAAGGAGGAAGGGGGATGTTACTGGTGCCAGTAGGTAGAGGCCACAAATGCTGCTTATATTCCCCAGAGGCACAGAGCAGCCCCTCCCAGCAGAGGGTTATCTTGTTGAAAATGTCAGCAGTGCTGTGGTAGAGAATCCTTGCCTTACAAAGCTTGGCAGTGATGAGTCACTTCCTGAGAGGACTTTATTAGTGACTGGGGTGGGGGGGGCGGGGGGCGGGGAATGGAACCATCTTGAAATAGATCCAAGGTTGAGTTTAGATCATTCCAGAATGTTTCTTCAATTATCTAAGTTTTAAAATGCGATGTTGGATGAGTATCTCATAAAAATAATCTGACTCCATCTTCTTGCATATATAGTTCTACTAGTAATTGGGAAATTCAGAGAACACAAAAACTATAGTAAAGTAGTGACTTGAATAATTGCTGAATTTTCATAAAACATATGGCACATTCTCAAAGTATGGTGTTTGATTGAGACATTTTGAAAATGCCATAAGCTTGAGGGAAAAGAAGGAAATAATCGTTTTATTGAAAACCATTTGAAAGCTCCAGATTAGATACTTCTAAGGAGGATTTTTGGATTGCTTTTATTTTATTTGGATGATTGTAAGCACTACAAAGGAAATTACAAGAAGACCAGGATTGTATTCATTACTCTGGGCACTGATCAAAGTCTGATCTGACTCTGTTGGCTTAAATTCTTTCACTTTTAATTGAGATAGAGGACTTGCAGGAAAAAAAAAAACACATATTAAACATTTGTTTTGAGTGGTTTGTTTTAAGGAAAATTACAGAGTGTTTCAAAAAGGCTCAATAGAGTATTTTTAGGGTATAATGCAGGAATATTATTTGTAATGATAGCATGGTTGTGCATGGGTATGTGTATATTATCATCTATAATCTTGTTTATAGAAAAAGGAGTGCTGCTGGTGCCAAGTCCCAATTCTTATTCATTGGATGGAGTCACTTAGAGCTGTTATCAAAATATCTCTTTTGAAAGGATCTCAACTAAGGAAAAGGATATAATAACACTGTTGAACGGTTTCTCCACACACATTTGTCTGATCTGACAAATGCTAGACATTTAAATATCCCTAGACCAGAAGGAAAATGTATTACTGTGTTTTATAATGTAGTTGAGTGGTGAGATGCAAGGTGAGTTATGATGTTTCTTCTTTCTAGAATGCATTTACTTTTATAAATTGAAAATAGGCATGTGCATGTATATATATGTATATATACGTATATATATATACATATATATATACATGGATGTGCTATATCTATATCCATATGTCAATCATATGGGGGGTGTGCATGTAAGTATGTGTATATCTACCTAATCTCTCATCTGATCTCTACTGTTGAAACTGGCAGTTGGCCTCCTCTGGCCTGGACTCATTTTTCACTGTCATTGATGTGAACTCCCAGAAACCACAGCTCTCACCCTTCCCTACATAAGTTTCTGCCAAGCACGTGGCAGAAATTCTTTGGTGTTAGGAACCAAGATCATATGACTGCTGTTCTTATGTGGATTGCCCTCAGGTTCATTTCCTTGTTAGCAGCGTGTTTATAAGTTCCTTGTAAGGAAAGGCCATATTTAGTCATTTAATATTGATTGATTGATTGATTCCCTGAAATAAATAACAAAGTCGGCTACACCTTATACATGCTGATACGGATTGTGGAGCAGTTTTTTTTTTTTTTTTTTTTTTAATCTAATGTCATGTTTTTGACAGAAATGAGCACTCTGCACTTAGTCCTTTTCTCTCACTGGGCTTTGAACTCAAGGTGTCTGGGCTTCCTCTGTCACTGGATTCTCTTACCTGTACCAGCACACCTACCAGGGTCTCCTGGGTTTGCTACTGCTGCTTCCAACAGGAAAACCTCCTCTAGGTTGAATTGGCCCAGGCCCCACCAGTCTTTTCTTTCTCCTGCAGTCTTTAGCAACTGCCATTCAAACTAATTGCTTGTATTCAGTTGTAAATTGTATCTGGGTTGGTAAAAAAAAAAAATCATGGAATATAGAAAGGCTGTCATTGCCTGACTTGAAAACCAATAGTTACCTGTCCCAGGTTTCCTAAGAAATGGCTTTTGTTCTTTACTCAGGCATTCATCTTCTTTCTCTCAGGTCCTTCATTCTCTTTGCCTTTCTTTGGTGAGCATAAAAAATCCATTTTGTATACCTTCTTCCCCTTTCCAGAAGTATCTGCAGGCTGTCTACTCCAGAGTCCTTAGTACTGTTTGTGTGCAATTATTTAGAATCTTCTCTTTCTTCTGCTGCACAGGATATTCATCATATTTCAAGCAGAATATCTAGAATTTATCAAAAAGAACATCCAAATATGCTGGGGTTATGTTTTTAACCCAAATTATAGGTCATTTTTCACACTTCTTAAAAATTGAAAGCCATAGAATAAATATCCTTTCTTTATGTTTTCTGTCTTGTGTGTGTGTGTGTGTGTGTGCATGCACGCGTGTGTACATATATGTGTAAGCACAGAGCGAGACTGAGTTTGAAATAAGTTCAAACAAAATTGTAGCCTTATTGCTGCTATGGAGATATTTTTTTAAAGTGAAGTATCTAAATTTTTTCTTTGGTCTTTCTAAATACAGAACAAACAAAAATGGGAAAACCAAGGACTAGAGCACTAAATAGGCTGATGCATTATTTTTTTAAAAAATGAAGTACATTTTATCTTTTCCCAAATGACTGGCTTTGTCAGGAAATGAATTGCAGGTTTTGCATCTAGAACAAACTTGGTTTTTTTTAAGAAAGGAAATAGATGTAAAACAATAAAAGGTAGCTAAAATTAAATGTCAGTGGTGAGAAAACAAGTGCCTGGAATATTCAGAACATAAAAAATAACTCTAGATTTAGTCATCATTCTGTGAATATATTTCTGGTACACTTATTTTCTCATCACAGAACATTGCTGTGGTCATGAAACTATTATCAGAACTTCCTTAGTCCTGTCACTCATGTTCACAAATATGCAGTATTTAAAACTTCTTGTTATATACACACAAATATACATGCACTCAAATTCTTTGGTAGTGATGGAGGACACTACGCTCCTGTTACAGTCTGATCACCCAGTCTGTTGCTCTTTACCCATGAGCATTTTCTTTGGTGTTACTGCAGCCTCAGTATTTGCCCTCCCAACCTGTTCCATTTTACTTTTTAAATTTAATATCCTGAGGAATAAAAACACATAGGTAGAGTGTGTGACCTGCACCCACTGGAAGTGTTAGGCCTTGGTAAATCTTTGTATATGTGAACACCTGTGTAAACGTGATCCAGAATGAGTCATGTAACATGTCTAGTCTTCTAGTAGATTCCCTCATGCCCCCTCAGCAGTACCACAGTTCGGATTTCCATTGCCCATTAATTAGTTCTGTCTGATCTTATATGTAATAAATGGAATTATATAATAGATGACTTTTAGGACTGATTTCTTTCATGTAGCCTATTTGAATAAATAGCTCCCATTTTATAGCATTTGTTCTTGTTGTATGAGTACCATGTGTACTTCCTTTTTCTAGAATATTCTGTTTCTTCTTGATGAGTTTTTCAATTGTATCCCTCTCTCCTCATCCCTTTTTGTTGCTATTCTTCTTGTATAAACATTGATTCCTTGTTGTTCTTCATCTTCATTGTTAAAGAAAAGGCTGTTGTCTCTGCCGTCACATGCTGCTAGCCCTGGATAGGAATGTTCATGTAAACCCTGTGCCTTAGAGCAGTGTATAGACTGCAAGGCTTTGCTTATGTGCCTGAGGAGCCCTTGACATCTGTCTGCAGCATCGGCCTGATGCCGAGATGTGGAGGCCGTTCTTGGAAACAGCAGCCCCAGTCTGGGGGCCCTATTCTTTCCAGGCATTAGCTCAGTTTTCTAGAGAACATTTCTGTGAATTCCACTTGGTAGACAAACCTCCTGTCTTCCTTTCCAATAAGGGCTTCGGGGGCTATCGAAAGAGGAAGAAAATGCTCACAAGCAGCTCTACAATTTATCTGTCCATTTCCCATGTTCTACTTCTTCTCATTCTTTTTCTGCCAATACTGGGTAAGATTCTCCTTTGAAGCACATCCTATACCTCTTCTGACTTCTCATTCATTCATTAATAACTTCCAATTTTGATTGTTTATTCTCCCACCCTAAGATTTCTTCTTGTGCCATATACTCATTATGTATACTTAGATAATTCAATTAAGTTATTTTGGTGTAACAGAAAAAGGGAATGGACTTTGGAGTCTTATTATTGATCAAATAATTTTCTGGTTCTCTCACTTTTTTTTTTAATTGTGGAATAAGTTCTCACCTCCCTCTGAGCCCTGATTTTTTTTAAAATCTCTAAAATGGAAACGATGATGTTTTTATCAGAAAACAAAAGTAGAACAAAATGAAAATGAGATTGCATATTTATGGGGTTGTTGGAAGAACTAAAATGGTGCATGTAAGGTGCCTGTCACGTTGGAAATCAGCTGTTCTCTCCTTTACCTCCTCTTTCCCTCTCTGCCATTTGCTGCCCTTCTCTCTCCTTTCATCTCTGTATTCCGGAATTCTTTCTGGTGAGCCTTCATTTCTTTTTTCTGAAAAGCAGAGAGGTTACCTTTCTTCCTCACAGAATCATCATGAGGCTGAAATGATACTATTTTGCAAATGAAAAAAACTACTCCTCAAATATAAAACAATATTATTAGTAGCAACAGTAGCTATAGTGAAACATGCAGTATTTCCTAAGGCAAAATAATTTATGTATATATATAAGCTCCATTGCAAGATGATTCTGTGATGAGTTTATCATGCATCATCTTTAAAATAGGAAACCTATAAATCCCTGGTTATGTCCACTTAGAGAAGTGAGCAAATGGATGCATTATGTTCTGTTGGCTAGGTAGTTGTGGAACTGATGATGAGTCTGAATTGGCAACAAGGCTTAGTGGAAACAAAATAAATGTATGGTCAAATAACTTGTGACTGTGGGTAGCTGAAGTCGTGTAAATGGGAAGCAGCCATGCCCCTCAGTGTGTGTTATCTCAGTGATGGCTGTGAGGTACCCGGCAGCACAACACGTCGGCTTTGTGAAAATTGCTTCTCCGCAGGTTTCTCCACTGGATGCCACTGTCCACAGGAACACTGAGCTCTGGCAAAGCTCCCTGAAGATGGTGGATTTATTTTCTGCTTCTTAAATTGCTATGGGCTTACACTGTCATCTAACCTCAGCTAGTTTGGATCACAAACAGTAAACTTTCACTCTGGTGGAGGTTTTGGTGTCTGGATTCCCACCACCTCCCCCTTCACTTCAGGCTAATTTTGCAGTATCTATCAGAGTGCTTCTTTCAGTTAGGGAAAGATGGAGAAGTTCACCTGGATCAAGCTCTGATCCCATTGCAGGTCAGCCCTTTGTGAATCCCGATGGGACTCCTGCAATATACAACCCTCCTGCCAGCCAGCAGCCCCTGCGGAGCACGATGGTGGGACAATCCCAGCAGCAGCCTCAGCAGCAGCCTTCTCCGCAGCCTCAGCAGCAGGTGCAGCCACCACAGCCACAGATGGCAGGCCCTCTGGTCACTCAGGTGAGGGGCTGGCTGGAAGCCCTGGAGGGGGAGAATTCCCAGATGAAGGCTGCATCGCCTTCAGAGCAGCAGTGACCAGGAAGGAGGTGTATTTTCTAGGGATGCCACTCACAAGTAAAACCTGTCAATCTAGCATTCTTTGTTGCAGGGTTGATAGAATTTCATCTGATGTTGAAGTTTAGATAGAAATGTATACCCACTCCAGTGCATGTATCTGCAGAGGGAGAGCAGGTCATAGGGAAAAGGAAGATGTTTTTTCTTAAGTCTAGATGCTGTTTTTATGTATTGAGGAGTGTCTGTCTTACAGACTGAACTCATAATGCCATCCAGGCTGTGTATCATCTTGCTTATCCATTTCCATCACAGATCCGATGCTCATGTCTGCAAAGAGTCAGTATTGAACTCGTTATCAATGGGAGGAATGGAAATCAATCAATTCCAAGTGAACTGCTGTTCATCCTCATGCCTCTTAGAAAGATGCAGAACTGCCTCCTTTCCTAGGGAGACATGTGGACATAGCCACAGGAACCTGAAGCATTCTAGATAGGCAACTAGAATGAGCCTCTTTTTACTTTTTTTTCTTATCTCTTAGACCTTGGGCAGTACTTTTAGAATTAGAGAATCTAACCACCACCGACACCAAATGGACATCACTAACTTCTCCAAGGAGTGTTCCCTCTGTGCAAAATAGCCTCCCTCAAGGCTGTGTCAGTCTGGTCTGCATGGCCTTGACTTTTCCTTGGGGGCTGGTTCTCCTCCCTGGGCTGCACTGATCCTAGAGGACCTATTAGGTATAGCAGACACTTCCTGTGGGACTCAACACCTGTGCTTTCCTGTTTCCTGATCAGCTTTTTCTTCCCCCTAGTCTGTCCAGGGGCTGCAGGCACCCTCCCAGTCAGTGCAATATCCGGCAGTCTCTTTTCCTCCCCAGCATCTCCTGCCTGTGTCTCCAACGCAGCACTTCCCCATGGTACTGTATTATATGTAATGTGGCTTTTCCCCTGGGAGAGCTCATTCACTTGGTTTGCTGTTTTCCTGTGCAGCTTGGGCTGATCCTGGGTGGGTGTCCTGGGCCGATGGCGAGGTGGGGGTTTGTGTGTGAATGTCTCATCCCTGAACAATGCAACCCATCTCTGTAAGACATCTCTTGTTTCCTTTCTGTTATCTGTCTAATGTTAATTGCTTCTATAATCTGGTACCTTTAAAAAAAGAAAGCTTACTAGCTAAGAAGGAATTGAAGGCTCTCAAGTCAGGAACAGAGAGAAACATGAATTTGGTGTGAAGGTTTGGGGAATATCTCAAAGTCAGAGTCAAGATGGTAGCATAACTATTATCACCCTATGCTCTTGATGCAGGTATTCCCATTGGAAGCCAGTCCCCCAGTTTCTTTTCATTTTACCCTCAATGCAATAGATCCTTTGAGGCAGTAGCTTGGATTATTATCCCTAAATTTCAGGCCCTGACAGTAAAGGAATGCTCCCTGAATCAGGCATGTAATCCCACCCACCCTGTTGGTGACTCCCATCCTAACTCCACCTTTGCAGCAGCTGTGGGTGGTGACGAGTAGGTATGTCTGCTTCTCTCCAGAAGGCAGATCCATGACTGCTGCTGGGGAGACCAGCTGACCCTTGAGGACCCGGCACGACAAGCACCCATCCCGAGGATCCTGAGCCCTCGATCTAGAAAGAATATTTTGCTTGCATTGAAGAGGGATATTTGGGTCAAATTGTTTACCATCTCCAGTTCTTAAGATGATGAACGCCTGATTTCTCATGCAATACTCTTTTTTCATGTTCTGACTGAATTATTCCTTTATTTTTTTTCAGTTCATACTTCCTCCTTTTCCCCCAATTATAAGTGTGTGTCCTGTGTGTGCCTCAATGTTAACGTTCTTGTTACCAAGTTGATCATCCTAATTTCCTCTTCTTTCCCCGTCTTTGGCAGAGAGATGATGTGGCCACACAGTTCAGCCAGATGAACCTGAGCCGTCAGTCCTCAGGAGAGACTCCCGAGCCGCCACCATCCGGTCCTGTCTACCCATCCTCCCTCCTGCCGCAGCCAACCCAGCAGCCCGGCTATGTCATCGCCTCTACGGGCCAGCAGCTTTCTACAGGGGGGTTCTCCGGCTCTGGCCCTCCCATCTCGCAGCAAGTTCTTCAGGCCCCTCCCTCCCCACAGGGATTTGTGCAACAGCCTGCAGCTGCACAGGTGGGTGCACTTTGACCCGTCTTTCCGTATAGAATGTCACCTGAGGTCAAGTTGCCTTTCCCTTTCCGGTTCCTGTAGGTCTTCCCCACCCCCAGGACTTGTTTTGTCCTTCTGTTGATTAGTTGTGCACAGTCATAGGGCTCAGAAAGGAAGTTGAAGGAAACTGACCCAACCGCCCACGGCTTGACAAGGGAAGGTCCATTTTTTCAGGCTGCTGGTACAGAGGCCATGAAAAGCCTCTGCTACCATGTGATGCCCTGTTCCTGGGATTGCCCAGGAAGGGAAGGCCTGTCCCCAGGGGACCCTGAACCCTCTCTTCCTGCTGCTCAGGAAATGTGGTTTCTCCCTCTTATCAATTCACAAGCATTTTTCCGGAGCTAATCTGATGCTCCAGGCAGTAGCTCCTCTATGAATATAAAGGAGGAAGTTAAACCAAATATCTACTGTCCTTTCCTCTCCCTGAGGGGAAGCAGAGCTCAGGCCTGCTCTCACAGGTAGCCATTAATCATATTTAATTGACTTGAGCATGTAAGACACCACAGATCACTGATTTCTACTGTCTTCCCAAAGACTGATTATGTGTTACCGTTCACCACCAAACATCTCCGGTGCTCTCCTGGGTATCCCTTGCAGAATATTGGAAGTGATTACTGTCAAGATGTAAAATGCACAGAGGCATTTTCTGGTCCATTTTCAAGGCACACATATCCCGAGCAAATTCCATCCTGATTATGAAGCATCGCATTGGACGAGCTATTTAAAGTGCAGTGTCACCTTTGTATCACTTGTTTCATTGCCTTAACATCTTGAATAAATTATTTTGTCTTCCAGACACACAAAACCATCTACCATGAAATGATTTTCAGTCAGTTGTTCATTTTATTTTGAGTGATTAATTAATAGTTCATCCTCAGTCTCTGTCTCAATAATATTTCTTCCCTAGTGGGATTTAAGGAGATGTGTAAAATAACTTTAAGTTACAGGAGAAAGGACTTTATTAATATATTAATTATTTTACTAATAAATTAAATACTTCAACTTTAATTATTGGAGAAATTGCTTAGCTCTTGTAGACTAAATAACATCTAAGTGTCCTTACCCATTTCTGTTGTCAGAGGAAACTGGCAGAGTGCTTAATTGAACACTTAAAAAAAAAAAGTCCTTCCCCAATGAAGGAATTTCAAAATTAGTGAACAGAAAAAGAAAAGACAATTCAAAACCTCTGCTGTGTCTGCAACAGAAATACTTTCATTTTCTCTTCAACGGATTTTAAAAAATAGGAAAAAATGGAGGAAAAACAGAGACAGTTCATGATCAGTTTGGACATTTATGAACATCTTTCTTAAAGAACCACAGATAGTGGTATAGGTTATAGCATATAATATCTTTCAATGCAGTGAACATTTTAAACTCTAGTTACCTAACTATAGAACAATGGAAATCAACTCAGGTGAGACTCAGCCCATGGATGTTTATGGAAATGTACTTGTGCAGAGAATAACCTTGAAGGACAATTTTCTCTGACTTGTGTGTGCTTTCTGAATGCCCACTAGAAAGAATAAGTAGGAAACACATGAACAAGGAAAAGAGGAATTTGAAGAAGGGAAATGGGAGAGTGCTTATCTTCTATAGTTCTTTCTCTAATGTATGTCTTTCCTATTCTCATCCATCTTTGGATTCTTCGTATTTTAATATGGTTGGTTGAAAATGAACATTTCTTCCTTTTGGACTAGCTTTACATCTCTTGCCCCTTTCTTCTTTGGAACCTTTCATATTGATCCTTTAAAAGGTTCCTCTTACCCCAGCTCACTGGGGTAAGGAGGGCGGGTCAAGTGTCCCTTCCTTCACATGGATGGAGGTCCTCATTCCTCCAACTGGTGCTCTGCTGTACTGTGGAGACGTGCTGGACAGAGGTGACCAACTTCCCAGTGCAATTTGTTAAAAAGTAGCTTTTTAAAAGGTTTACATGAAATTTGACATTTATCCAAATCATTAGTGCTCATTAGGAACTTTTCAAGTGTTTGAGTTCCATTCTTTAACCTTAAAGATATATTTTAACATTTCATATTGAGCATAATAGGGAAAACCAAGGAATGGATATCATATTCAGAAGCTTATATTTCACCCAGTTTCTTCTTAAGAAATAAAATGCTATTCTTCTTAAAAAAAAAAAAAAAACATGCAAATATAATGCTGATGAATGAATAATGTAGTAGCTGTTCTTAATATTGGGAGAATGTGATGCATAATTTTAGTAATCTTTCATTGTACCACAAATTACCAAAGCAAAACTAAAACCTATGACTTCACCAGAATTATTTAAGATTTTATTGTTGTAAACTGCCTCACCAAAAAAGGGTTAAGTTACTATTAGCAATGTATGCAATGAATAAATCAGTTGCCAGACACAGACTGGTGATTGTTTTAGATTCATTCAGCCCATTACCCTTGAATGTCCATATTATTAGGTAGTCAGAATTATTACTCGTAATGATTTCATGGAATTGCAGAACAAGAGTCACAAAAATTCTGTTATCCTTTGTTCCTACTATATCCTGAGGGAAGAAAATATGCTATGTGTTTCAATAGCAAGATTGAAATAGAAAAATATTTCCTATTTGACATGAGCAAATCAGAAAATAAAATAGCCATAAAATCACAGTTCCCAAATAATTGGTTCATAATTTTATTCTATGCATGTAATACTCATAAGCTGTCTACGGGGTTGGCTCCATTTTCACTTTAGAAAAGATGATAGGAGAAAAGTCTGAGGCCTGAAGAAGGAAAATAATTAACTAAGATCAGTAGGAAAGTAGCCTTAATATAAATGACCCAAGGCAGTCAAAGAAGTCCTTCCAGATCAGAAGATACATTATTTCAGTGGAAGTAATTAGAAGCTTTTCATTCATACTCAGTCATTAGGAAGTTACAGAGGGTGACATAAATGATATTTTAACATATGATATTTCCCCTTTTATATTGAACATAAATTTTCCAGATTCTAGCTGTGTGCAAACCACTCTGCAAAGTGCTTTGGTAGACTTTTAAAAACCATTGTATGGCTCATGACTAGGTCAGCAATGGAGCCAGACTTATCACAGATAGCTCCTCTCTGCTCCATATGGTACCGGCTAAGGTGATTTGACCAGGGCTCACACACATGCCCACAACTGAGGGTGTCTTGTGAGTCCAGGTGCCTCTGATCTCCACATGGCCTCTTTCTAGAGCAGAAAGCCTGGACTTCCTTGCTTAGTGGCTGGGTCCTTCTCCAGAAGGAGTAAAAGGTGCATATTTTTTTCTGAGGTTCAGGCTTATAAGTCTTTCTGTCTCATGGCACTGGTCAAAGTGGGTCTCAGAACCAGCTCAGTTTCAAGGGCTTGGAGAATGGGTTCCACCTCATCACAGGAGAACATATACATGGCACATGCCCATACACACAGGCCAGGCAGAAGTTTATGGTGGGCCCTCTTTACAATCTACTTCGATCATGTGACATCATAGATGGCAGGGTGTTTTATGTGAGAAAAGACTTATGTTTGATCCTCATTCTCCGCTTTTGCCTATCTGTCTTCCAGATGCCTGTCTATTATTACCCGTCTGGTCAGTACCCTACCTCAGCCACGCAGCAGTACCGGCCCATGGCCTCGGTTCAGTACAGTGCTCAGAGGGGTCAGCAGATGCCACAGGCAGCACAGCAAGCAGGTACTTGGAGTCTCTTTTGCATTCTGTGCTCCAGCCCAATCGTCTTCACGGTGAATTCCATAGGTGTACTCGTTGGTTGAGTGCCCAAGTGTGGTGATTTCAGACAGCATGTTCCCCTCCCCAGAGAAGCCATCAGAGCATTGATCAACTCTGTGTGCAAAAGAAGCAGGCACAAGAAGGAGGTGAGGCGCACCTCCGTCCAGCCTCCCAGGCATGCATGCTGAACACAGCCTCCACAAATTATTTTCGGATCTTCTCAGTTTATTTTAAAGCAGAGAGCTGACCACATCCCTATCTTCCTAGTTCATGTTTTTTTTCCCCTCATTATCTTAAAGAGAGTGCTTCCCCTGTCCCTAAGGCTAGGGAAACCAAATTAGGTTGTTTTGATACCATCCTAAAAAGCACTGTCTCTAGAAAAAAGCTACCGACAAAGCAGCGTGGTGTGTCTCGGTGGAACTCTGACTCCGTGGTTCACTTTCACGAGGGCCACGTGTGCCTCCTGCCCAGGGCCCGGCAGCCACTGTGCAGTGGGAAGGGGGGCCGATACACTGTACGAGAGTGAGTAGCAGGTCTCACAGTGAACCGGTCTCTTTCCCTACTGTGTCACACTCCTAACGGAATGCCGTTCCCCAGAGAGCAGCAGAAACCCAGCAGGGCTGAGTGACTTGAGCTAGGCAGAGCGCTGTGTCCTTCCTGCTGACCAAACTGTGGGAAAAACTGCTAATTGTCATGCTGAAGACCACCTGACTGGGAGAAGCTGCCTTCAGTAAGTAGGTCACCCTAAAGATCACATGCTCCCTGCTGCTGCTCATGAATGCTTTGCTCTGTGATCACATTGCTACACCGAATATATGTGTATGCACATGTAATATGTACTGATATATGTATGTAACATATCCGTGGTATGTACCATTTTTTTTGTACAAGCTATGGGAAGAAACCCACAATCTTTGCCAAGGAGCAGTACCAATCACAGACACCCTAAGAATACTAATGCTGACATTGCTAGCATTTGGTCAGAGTGGAGAAAGAATTAAATCGCTCTATACTGTAGATGGTTGTGTGTTCTTTAATTCATCTTATGACCTATTTAAAGTCTGCGGGAGAATTACAGAAACCTATGGCAGCCAGCCAGATTTTGTCTTGTTTCAACACTATGTTTGTTCAGGGAAGAATATATTTGACCTCAGAATGGACTTTATACTTCTACTGTCGTAAGAACAAAAATAGTTTCAAACTATTAGTTATTTTAAGAAAAGCACTTGGCAGTGTTTTCTGATTGTTGGAAAATGTTATTCTCTCTACTATTTTGGTGGTAACTGAGCTCTCAGTTTGGCTGTAGACTATAGAGATATATTGCTTGTATTTCGAGCCTGTCTTTTTTTTCCTGAGGATGTTTATTTAAAAAAATTAATTTATAATCTCCTAGACCTTGGTTCAGAATCAATGAAGAATTTTCCTGTTGGTTACCAATGCATTTAGGAGAGGAAAGACATAGATGTCTCATTGTAATGATCTAGTTTTTATTTAGCTTAGTGTCATGGTGTGATGGTTGTCTAGAGAAGTATTTCAGACTTGTGGAACATCATCATAGAAAGGCTGCAAACCTGCTGGAATCCAGTAAGCCTATAAACTCAGGATCTGGGTGAGGGGCTGTGAAGGTCGAATGCATGTGAAGGTCGAATGCATGTGATGGTCGAATGCATAAATGCAACAGAATTTGAGTAAGAGCAAGTCTAGAGTTTCCCCCAGAATCCTATATTGCTGTTTCTCCTCTCCACTAACTTCACTGATGACTAACAGTGGTAGGGAAAATATGCATGACATTTTCTCTTTTGTAAAATATGTGGGAGAATTTAGAGCTGCAGAAATTCCTCCTTGGGTTTCAGAAAGACTTAACTGGTCCCAACTCTATTCTGTGACCCTTGAGTGGCGTTGACTTGCCCAGTGCTCACACATCACCATGACAATGCCACCCCCAAGGAATGACCATGACAGTGTAATAGGAATGCATTGTATAGCAATATCATGCTCCAAATAGAAGTGAGGGCAATGCTTCAGGCGTCAAGGACATGAGAAGCAGTTAATGTGGTCTGTGGAAGGTGGAGAGGTGAGAAAAGGGAAATGATTTCTGAACAGTATCTTCCCCAGAAATGACAATTTCAGTACACATGGACAGACATAGACCTTTGATTTCTTGGCTTCTGTGATCATGACACCTGTTATCTGGTCCAACGTCCCAACACAGTTTCCACTGTGGGCTGAATTGACCACTTTTGGGCAAGGCAGGTGGTATGTCTGGCCCTTGCAAAGAATCACCTCTGCTAATAAAATCCAAGCAACAGAGCTTGCACAATGGCAGTGTGATAATGCCTAGAGGCTCTGGGTCCTACAGGTTTGGAAGGCCTTTGCTCAGCTTACTGAAGGCAATAGAGACTTTTCAATAGAGTATGGCAGAGTTATTTGTGGGAGAAACTCAATACATGGACTCTCATAGAAGAAAGAGCCTTTTCAGATCATGGTAAAAGTCATGCTTTCTGGAGGATCTTGTAGATAAGCCTCCTCTGTCTTTAAGTCAAACTCTAGACTCGTGTAAGTGTTATTTCTGTCTCACAGAGATGCTCTGATTGCTCCTTCTCCTGTCTCCTGCAGTCTTGCATCCTGGGATCTGACCCTCTCCTATCCTCCTTTGGTACTGACACCAGCTCGTTTCATAGCATCCTTAGCTGTCATATGATTTAGCATGTGAGTGGGACAAAATTATGTCCAGTAAAAATCAAATGAGATTTTAATCCCAGTTGGCTTCCTGGCAGTTTTTGCTATATTTATTTAATTGCTATAAAAGCATTTCTTCATTTTCCTACATTCTCGACAGAATTGAAACCTCTGTCAGTTACCACTTCTTTCCTAGGGCTTAAAACTATAGACAGTGAAATTTTATGAAGGAAACTGGATACCCTGCAATTGATTTAAGAGGACACTTAAGGTACACTGAAGACCAGCAGGCGGACATAATTCTTCCTCTTGGTGATTTTGTTCTCTTGACCTTATCAATAGATAGTCAAAGTCCTACACATGAGAAAGAAAGATCTGATGCTAGTGATGATCATAAATAAATGTCACTGATGTTAAGAAACTATGGAAAATCAAGTGATAGATTTGCAGTGATGTATGGAAATTGCAGCTATTTAAAAACCTTTAATATATTTAAAAACCTTTAATATAGAAATACCTCTAATGGAAGACATTATCTGTTGCCAATATGATATTAGGTACCCCCAGAGAGGGAGAAAATTTTATTAGACACTTATTAATAACCCAGGACTACAAAGAAATACAGTTGCCAGGATAGAACTAACAGGCCTATAGTTTTAAATCAATCTGGATTTTAAACACTTGGAAGGGAGAGTGTCTTGTCTTAGAATAGATTCTGTCAGTGGTCAAATACTGAAATTTTATGATAATTTCTAGAGCTTTTAAATTATAAATCAATTCCTTTATGGTTGTAGGACTATTAAGATTATTTCATCTTTTGGGAGTTTCACTAGGTTGCGATTATCAAGGAATTGGCCCATTTCTTCTTAGTTCTGGGAGTTAGGTGCATACATTTGATGGTTGTATTCTTTTATTATCTCTTTAGTAGCTTCAGAATATGTTGTGATATCTTGTTTTATTTCTGATATTGGTGATTTTTAACTCTATTTTATTGTTGATCTTGCTGGATTCATCACTTATTGATCTTTTTGAAGAATCAGCCCTTTAATCGATTTACTGTTATTTTATTGTTTCAGTTTCACTGACTTTGGCTCTTATCCTTATTTATTTATTTATTTATTTATTTATTTCACTTTATTCACTTTAGCTTTGTTTGGCTATTCTTTTTATATTTTCTTCAGGTAGGAAGCTAAATGGTTGATTCTGGATCTTCTATCTTTTCTAATGTAAACTTTTTAGTGCTTCAAGTTTCCCTTTCAGTCCAGCTTTAGCTGTATCCCACATATTTTGACATGTTATATTTTCATTTTCATGCATCTGTATATACATTTAAATTTTCTTTGATTCTTTGTCTTTGACTCATGGATTTTTTGGAAGTGTGTTGTTTAATGCCCAAGTGTTTGGAGATTTTCCTGTTGTCTTTCTGTTATTTATTGTAGATTGATTCCATTATAGTTAGATAACACATTCTGTATGATTTCAATTCTTATAAAATTTTTGAGGTTGCTTTATGGCCAAGAATATGATCTACCTTGATGAAAAAGTAGATACTCTGCTGTTTTGGGTAGAAGTCTTTACAGATCAGTTAAATCCCGTTAATTCATTTTGTCATTCATATCCTCTCTATTTTTGTTGATTAGTTCTATCAGTTACTGAATGGTGGATATTCAAAACCCCAAATGTAAAATCTACAGTCCTAAAATAAATCTCCGGGAAAAGTTTTCCCTTAGAGTCTCTGAAGTCCGAGGATGGAGAAGAAAGTTTAAGGTGATTTGGAACGTTTTATCATCTGGCATGCCTAAGAAATGTTATATGCCCTAAAAGAAGTTAGACAAATCCACCAAGATCTTCTGAAAGATAGAGGCCCTCTGAGCAGTAAGGGCAGGTGAGCAGTTCCTGTAAGCTGTTGCTTGCAGTTCTCAGTGCCAGGCTCACAGCACTGCTGCTTGGTGTCAGCCGTATTACTCTAGGTTTAGGTAGAAGAATAATGAAGATGATGGTTTACAACATATGCTTCACAGTACTGCCTTCCTTTCAGACCAGGAGTATCCACGTTCTTGAATGTCATGAAAGGGGATCCATATGAAGATATGAGCAGAAAAGAGGGGAAGGAACTAGCTTAGGGTACAATGGCAGCCAACCATTTGGTGTGGCTTCTGAAGACTGCTTTACAACATCCCTTTCCTAACCCACCCTCCCCCACTCACAAGTATCTGCTGAATGATTCATTTGGGGGCAAAACCCAGTTCATAATGCATTTCCCTTTTTACTCTTCAAATTGTAGC